AATGTTTAATAAACGCTAATTTTGATGATTTTTTCAGTTTATGTGACCACAGTTCTTTTAGCATTTTTCGAATCGCTGTTTGCTTTAGGTAAGGTTCCAGTTGACATGCATATATTCTAAAATAGGAAAAAAAATTAAAAGAAAACTGCAAACAAAAATCTATGTACTTCTTACTTTGTAAACATTTGAAATGCTTCTAATTCTAAATTTTTTTTTGAAAGTTTTTCATTTTTTACTTGCACTGAAAAACGAATGAATTTTATACTAATTAGCAAGAACTCCTAAAACTATCCATATATTCTGTGATTCTAAGTGAAGCCAGCAAAATTCGAGCGAACAAGGGTATAGTATCAATACATTATCATGGGAAGATCTCGATAAATACAACCGTGTACTAAACTAACAGTTCACACAGTGACAGTGAGTAAGATGTATATGAAAACATTTGTCAGAAAGCCAATAGAAAGTCTGTTTGAACGTACGCGGAGACAATACTGGCGATGATGATCGTACACGACGGCTGATCTTACGAACAGGTTTTCGCGACAATCGTGGTTGATGTCGATGTTTATTTGTTATATTTGAAAATGGTTTACAAGCAGAAGATGACATTATCTCGTTTTCTAATCTAAAATTAGAAAGTAAAAAGTTTTGAGTTTACGAAAAAATGAAACAAAAATATACAATTGTTGCAGGAAACACAAACTAAAAATGAACAGATATTATTGTATACGGAAAACTTCAACTGTGCAACGATTGAACTCCTTTTGGCATTCAACAAATAATTAACCACTAGATTACTATTAAAAAATATATGTTGCCTTTTACTGAACCACCAAAACGGCTTCGGGATGTTTGATAACCCAGAGTTAGCTCAATTCTTCAGAAGAGTAATTTCATCAAAATTTTCAACCAGAAAAATGTGTTTCAAACAGAACACCAGGTACACTCAGTCAGAACAGAATGTCAGTCCATATGAGAAACTATGAACAAGAAAACACATACTTTTCATCAACGACAAGGAACAAGAACATCCCTGTCACAAAGCAAAAAAATTTTTTTTTTCGTGTAAAATAAACAAAGCAGACAGTTTTCTGACTTTAGTTGGAAATCCTTTTTATTCCTATAAGGAACGCTGTTTAAAATACTTAGTTTTTTCCTAATGATCAATTGATATTGAAATCTAATTTTTACTTTCACATTCAACCTGTATAAAAATAATTGTTTGAAATGCGGATAAAATCTGAACTGATCCTCTTAGGTTGCTCTTCCATTCTTTATATTTTGATGGAATTAATGAACATATCCATACAATAAATTGTAATTGAGATAAACGAATATCTGATTGTAGATAAAAATTTAATATTGATATGCATAAATAGGATATATTCGATTGTAATTCGAGATAAGGACAGAGTGATCGAATTAACGAGACTAATAATAAACGACTCAACAGAGTCATTAAATTTAAAACGAGAAATAAAACAATCAAAGATCAAAGTCGTTTTTCAAAGGGAATCATTTGATCCTACTAATTTTGTTATAAATAAAAAGTGTAAATACGTATTCTTCATTGCATGGAATTGTGTCCTCATTCAGGGAAGCCATGAACAGAACCGTACCAAAAAGCCTAGTCATAATGCATTGCATGTAACATATCTATATTTTAAATATTATTGTTTAATTTGATCATACATTTCTAACAGGGATCAATACAAACTAATATCATGACTATAATCATCATATTGAAGTATAATTCTAACGGCGAGCGGACATTGTTATTTGTAGGTTTGAGTTCTTTTTGATATTATTCACTATTCAATTTGACAACGATTGTGCTAGTGTAGTATTTGTTTGACAACTTCTTTTTCTTCTTATTGTGTTCAATATGAGGCAGATTTGTCATGTTTCCTAACGAAAAAACTTAAGAAACATAGCAAATCGATTAACCTGTCTCTCCTTCGATACATTGGGTTGCTATCGTATATTTTTTGGTTCTCTTATTGCGGTTTAATCTAAGCTCTGTAGGGTATTGGTGAAGTTTGTACTGGTATTTTATGGAGTAGGAAAGAAAGCGACTGAAACTGTTCTGAATACATGAAAAGATGAGTACTCAGAAAGCCATTCACCATATGGAGATTGTCTATTGAGAAAATACAATACTGGATACGTCGTTAAAGTGATGTCGCTCCTGTACGCTCGTGATCCTCTTTAAAAACCTTTCAGCTATTGCCATATACGGAATAGCCATATTCCGTGTTACCGCTTTACACAAAATCTTCTGGCCTGAGAGAACATGATCTAGCAATGCTACGATAAATATCAGTTCAAATTTTACAAATATTAGAGAGTTTTACGTGTCGCAAGATGGAAAATCATGGGCCTGTTTCTGAAAAAAACTTAAGTAGAAAATCTTCCTTAAGTCAAAAAAGACAAAGACTTTTTTGGACTTAACTTTGACTTAAGTAAGATTTTCTACTTAAGTTTTTTTAAGAAACAGGCCCCATATCACCGGAACAAAAAAACTAAAGTTAGTTTTGAGTTGCTGATGCTTTTTCGCATTCACCACACTTGATAATCCAGATTTTCTATCTTTTGCACAGGGATATTTCCGAAAGTTTAAGAAAAATTTCGAAACAAAATGGTGCAAAATATTTTCCATGTGTAAATAATATTAGTTCGAAAATTTTTCATATCACCGAACAAGCAAAATTTTGAAAACGAGTTCGGTAGAAACGGACTGCATATTCAGATCCGCCATAGTCGGTTACGTAGTACGGCATGTATTTTGAGTCTGGGTACTTCATCAAACTGGCTAGGTTTTTGCCAAAAAGAAAGGAAATAAAAAGTTGCTCTGAACAGGAATCGAACCTGCGCACGTGTGACTATAATAATTTGCTGCGCAAACGTATGGCCTATTCAGCTACTACAGAGTACTAATGAAAATGTCCTTTTTCGCTGTTATTTGACGATGACATAGGGAAAATTCCTGGGTTCGTTATACAGTCTCGATGCTAATGGTGTCCAAACTGGTCAGAACGAGATAAGATTGCTCATTACGAAGTGTGAAAGTGAAGTTCCACATAGACGCCAAATGTGCTTAGATTTTAGTACTTCACCTATCTTTATTTTCTGGAATTTTGAACTCTTCTGCACTTAGTAGGTCAGTAGGTAATGCACTCAGAATATTAATTGGCCCATTGTTTTAGCCAGTCGTCAGCTGCATAGACGGCCTAGTGAAGAAGGAACCACTTGAGTAAAGAAAATATTTCAGGGATAAATTCTCTGCTTGAGGTACAGTCTTTCAGACATAATGTGGGAAAAATTTTAAGTTTTGAATCGAGGACAATGTTATTCTATTATGCATTTAGAGCTTGGCGCTCCGACTGATATCTCATCAAGAGACATTATACATAACAAGTAAATCGAACAACGACATAACCATTTGAACCGATAAAATAACAGGTTTTCGGATTTCTTCTTGTTTGATTTGCTTGAAGCTAAAAATAATAAAACAAAGACAAAGCGAAAAAGAATTTTTTCTCTTATGGCTGAAATTCAAAGATTGTTATAAGCGTGATTTGATCTCGATCGCCGATTTCTCCATCCTACCTCATATTTATACTAACAAATCAATATTAACTTAAACATACATTTAAATCAGTATGAATAAGAATACTGACATCAATATCAACAGAAGGTAGGCGGATCTTTTTCCCACTCAGACCCTGTGGAAAATAATAAAATGAAAACTGAAATACAAGCAGCAGCAATAATGGCAGCAGAGAGGTTAATCTGACTTACACAATAATGACATTGTCGTTGCTTGTCGTATAAGTTTTTGTTGGTATTCGTGTCAATCCAGAAGTTTTTAAGGAGAGAAGAAGTGATAAAAGTGAAAATATGAAGTATGGTAACTCCTGTTGAAACTTCGCGATTTCTCTCACTCAGAATCTTGTTTGTCGTGAAACTCGCATCGGATTAGTTATTGTTGATACAGCGCAGAGCTCAATCAGGATATACGTAGTGCTCTGCTAACGCAGAGTGGGAAATTGTTTATAAAACTACGGTTTTATAAACTCGGACGCCTTTTGTTGGAAGCGAATGCGCAAAAACATGACACGCTTTTCTTCATTTTCGATTTTCGTTTTTTTCTCGAAAAGACGAAACTGAATGTTAGATGCTGCACGACGGTAATCACTCACGACAAATTCAGTTTTTAGATGAAATACATCAACTAAAAACTGACGCGATGCATACCTTTTAGCCTAAAGCTTCCAATGCCCGATACTGTGCAACGCTTATTGGGTACAACGCATTACGATTTTGACCCCTGCACTTATCTTTAGCCTCAGCATAGATGGTTTGCTGCAGGTGGGGAGCTAAAGTGTTTAAAATACTGGATGATTTTGCGAGTGCGCAATGCGTTTTAAGTCCTTCTGCAGATTAACGGTTTGCGAAAAGACCTGTTTGATTGTGGGGGTGATGCCAATAATGGCTTGGTGGCGAACTGTGATCTCTCAACTGCATGAATATAGAACAAGAACAAAATATCTGAAAGTAGAGAGAGAGAGAGAAAGAAAACCAAGTCCTGTTCTGAAATGCTTCTCGTTTGTTTAACTTTAAACAATAATTTGTTGAAAATAATGAAATGTAAAAGCTATTCTTTTTTTCTCCTATTTATATATCAAGTCCATTACAGACAACAACTAACAACATAATACAGAAACTATTAACATGAACTAACACAAAAAAGTATTTTATTAAGAAGAGAAAAGAAAGATTTGTTGAAAGTTATCAATGATAGAGTAGAGAACGAAAGAAGAAACAACAGAATTTATTTTAATTTTTGAGTTAGATATTGTGCATTATAGAGTAAAGTATCCTCTAGAAAATATGGTCACTCCCACTCCCCAAGGCCTTCCATTGTGGAGATACGTTTGTTACTTCACGCTGAAAAAACCCTATATTTTTTACTTTCGAAACCTTTTTCTCTTTCATTCAGTACTCGATAAACTTTTGAAACAGTCAGTCAGTCTTGCAGAATAAAGATTTCTCTACAAAATGATATGTCTCTCAGCTGTTATTGAGATACAGTCTTTCAGACATAATGTGGACAAAATTTAAGATTTTGAATTGAGGACAACGTTATTCTATTATGCATTTTAGGCTTGGCGCTCCGACTGAACATAATATAAGGTATAACACAGAACAACCAAGACTCGCGCCGCGACATTTTAAAACTCCTCTAGCATATCAGAATTTCGCGCTTTTTTTCTAAAGGGGTTGCCAGAAAATTTTTTGCGGGATAATGATCAGCATGGTCGATTACCTATGAAGCCGTTTTTATCTCAAATGGGTCACCTTGCTTTTTTGCGAAAAAAAAAATTTTAAATTTTAAAGGATATTTGAGCGGGAATCGAACCTGCGGCACAAAAAAAAAGTATATTTTATTCTCTTCTCTTTAGCTCACTGAACCATGAATCTGTATTCATCGTCTGTTCTTCGATCAACTATAGATAACAGAAAAAAGGAACAATATTTCATAATCTACTGTTTTCGCCATCTTTAACCAGTTTTAGGCTTCGTAGTCTTCTGTGAGTCAGAATAGA